AAGAAATATTCTATAAGTTCATTCATGAATTAATAAAACTTTTTTTTCCTAAGAAAATTCTGTGGCATCTGTTTCACAAAACATTGCCAGTATCCAAACAGACTCAGGTTAGTAGCAATAAATACTCAGGTTTTTTTTTATAACTCCTAAGTATTCTTTTTGCAGTGCCGTGTACATTAAAGGAAGTAATTCCAAAGACCGTTACGGCTCAAGACGCGTCTAAAGGTATTACGCTACTCATTGAATATTTTTCTTTTTGAATGTTTTTTACAGAAATATGTTATATTAATTCTTAATTTGAATTTTTTATTTATATAATATTCTCATTAAAATCCTCAAGATAACAGTGTCCAAGTAATGTAAATTTTATGTCCTTTCAACTTTGTAGTCAAAATAACGTCAAATTGATATTATTTTGACTTTTCTGTTCTCCTTCGGACTATATCATTCTGAATTTTTATTTAATAGAAATAAAAGTTGTAAATTTTATGTATTTTAATTTATTATATTTATTTTTTATTCTCAGATGAAGCCTACAAAAAGCAAGTACTCAGGATGTTGTCGATTCTGAATTACAAGATAGAGCAAATAGCGGAAGATGTAAATAGTTTTAAGACAAATAACATTATGGAGAAAGAAGTTCCTGCAATGGAATCATTATTTGAAAAATTCAATTTTCCTTTACGTTCTATGGAAGAACTTGAAAATTTTGAAGCGTATTTAGAAAATGAAGAAAAGAAAAAGGAAGTTGTAAGTTATTGGAATAAATTTTAATAGAGCAACATAAAAGTAATTCTATTATAAATAAAGTTATACAGTGTGTCTCAGAACTTCCGAATACAGAATGCACAGGACGATTCTTAAGACTAGAAGAAATATCTTTTTTCTTTATCAAAACGTTCGTTTAAACAATAGTTTTTTTTCGAGCTGTTTAAAGTTAAATCCTTGCACGTGTCTAAAGTTTTAATCTGAGGAAGAAAGCACACGTCATTTTGATGTAAAAAACTAGTAATTATTGATCGAATGACGCCAAAAAACATCATAATGTCTAATGTAAAACGTCTTTTTTGTGACGTTTTTATACAAGGTTTTAATGATGTTCAGAAAAGTCATTTAAACGTCTTGAAATGTTGTCATTGGCCTGTGACTTATTCCTGTCATTTTGCCGTCATTTTCACATTATTTTTGGTAATTTATTCGTCATTTTGGTCGTTTTTGTCAAATCTATCAAATTTTCACGTCAAAATGACGTGTACTTGCTACCTGAAATTAGTATACTAGATTGTGCATGGATCAGCAGCGTTAGGATCGGTTTACATCCTTACTTTAATCTTTAATACATACGTAATTGACCAACCACAGTTGATTATTCTTGAGACGCTCGAGAAATAATCGACTGGTGGTTGGTCAGTTGCTTATAGCTTAAAGCCTAAAGCAAAGTTGTGAACCGACTCTTATGCGGAGTGCACGAAATCACGAAATAACAAATGTATTCTATATTATGTAGGCTGTTTTTGTCATACTACAGACATGTACCATGCACTATTCCTGATTCGCATGCAATCTTACATTCCGATACGACAATTTTAAATAGCCCTCATGTAACAACTATTGTTTAAACCAAATTTTAATAAACGAAAAACTGTTTCTGTTGGTGTCAAAAACCGTCCTATGTATAACGTACACAGTCTGTCCTAGATACGATAAGACTGGTTCCATCAAAGTTCTTAGCGCAGCGACATCTATGAGTGAATGATGGTAGGTGAATGTTCTACCCTTCATCTACTTAACTTCAAAATTTGAGCAAATTCGGTTGATATTTTACTGTGGTTTGACATTTTATGTAAAGTCACTTTGTGTACATCGGTCGAAAAACCAACATGGAACAAAGAGCGAATATTAAATTCTGTTTTAAATTGGGTAAAAGTGGTGCAGAAACGCTAAAAAATGTGTACGGGGATGAATGCATGTCCCGTGTATAGGTTTTCCGTTGGTTTGGCCGATTCCGTGACGGTCGTGAGGGCTTTGCAGACGATGACCGAACACCGCCGCCAAAAACCACTCGCAATGAAGAAAACATCGAGAAAGTCAAAGAAATTCTTCGAAGCGACCGCTGTGTGTCTGCGAGACTCATCGAAGAGGAAACTGGGATACCGAAAAGCACAGTTTATCGAATTTTGACCGAAGATTTGGGCAAACGGAAGGTCTGTGCGCGCTTCGTGCCACACACTCTGACAAACGACCAAAAAGATTGGAGAGTTCAGCATTACAAAGACATGTTCAAAATGCCCCGAAGGAATCCGGCAAGCATGTCAGCCATTGTAACTGGTGATGAAACGTGGTGTTTTCAATACGAGCCAAAAACAAAACATCAGAGTACGGCATGGAAGTTACCAGAAGAGCCAAAAAGAAAAAATTACGCTTTCAGAAGAGCAAAATCAAGACAATGCTGACCGTTTTCTTCGATTCAAAGGGATTGTTCACAGTGAATTCGTTCCAGAAGGTCAGACGGTGAACGCAGAATATTATCTGGGAGTTCTACAACGATTGTGGGCCAGAATTCGACGAGTTCGACCGGAATATCGAGAGCCAGGCAGTTAGTTTTTGTTGCACGATAATGCACCATCGCACAAAGCCATCATGGTACGTGAATTCTTGACCAAAAAAGGCATCATTGTTATCGATCATCCACCGTATTCACCTGATTTGGCTCCGTGCGACTTCTGGCTATTTCCCAAACTGAAATTGCCGATGAAAGAAAATCGTTTCGATACCATCCCGGTTATCCAAAAGACTTCGACTGCCATACCAAAGGCCATTCCAACCGATGAGTATAAAAAATGTTTCGAAAAATTTGTTGAACGTTTCCAGCGCTGTATTGACTCAGAAGGAGACTATTTTGAATAAACAAGAATAAAAAATCAAAATAATAAACGTTTTGTATTTTTTTTAGACCAGTCTCATTGGATCTGGGACAGACTGTGTATATAGAAGTTCCACCTTACATAACACAAGTTCTATTATAGTTCATTATAAATTAGCCACCTTATTGTTTCTTATTAAATTTTTTAAGGTAACAGAACTTTCAAGGCTTAGAGGAGCAAATCCCAAAATTATGATTAGAAGGATAATGGAGAAAATTTTCTCTAATGAGTTGGCTGTGCAATATTCGTGGTTAGGATTCAAAAAGAAAGAAATTTTCTCTAATTTGATTATTTCTCAAATAATAATAAGTAAGGACTTACAATAAGTTTTATAATACATTATATTTATAACACAATTTAATTCAATTATATTATTTTGTTATTGAATTTCAATAATTTTTAGAATTTTTTCAGAATCTGTAATGACGCTTCATAAAATAAGTACAGCAGGTGAAGTGAAAAATGCCATTAAACTGTAGCTAGTGAAAGCAAAAGAAAGAATGCAAAAATAGAAAAAAACTAAAATATTAACGTATTTTGTTTATAAACTTTTTTATAGTTTCTTTAGTAGTTTTTTATAGTTTTATAATAGTTTATATTTAGACATTTTATAATAATTAATATTTAAACGTAGTTTATGTTTTTACGTTGAGAAAAAAATGTCTAAAAAATAAAAAATATCTCTTTGGTGAATATTAACGACATATTCGCTTTGTTAATATAACATATTTTTTAGATAAGAAAATTTGCGTATTTTAACCTTACTTTTTTATATGAAAACAACTGTTTATTTTTTTTTTAATAAAAGAATTTAGATTTAAGTAAACTACATAATACGTAATATTACGTGCTATGTGGGATATAATTTATTACATTCGTCAAATAAATATTCTTTACTTTTTGAATATTTTTTTCTGTCAGTGTACACTAAAAAAAATATTTGAAATTATATTTGTAAGGTATAAATTTTATTTACAGAAATAAATTTTATATTGCAAACAAATTTTAAAATATCTTTTTAACGCAACACATTGTACAAATATATTAATGTTTTTATATTATTATATTAATGTTTTTTGAACTTTTGTGCTATTTAATTTCTTCTTTTTCCTTCATTACTTATTCCGTCTTATTAGAATAATTACCAAATAACTAGTCTGCGGATAAAATCTCATAACAGATCCATATCCTACTGTATACGCATTAAGCTCATGACCTATGAATAACGTTAGTTAAAATAACTTTATGGTAGATTGACGACAAGAATGGCCATTCCTGTTGCCAATTTGCCATAAAGTTATTTAAATTGAATTTATCGACAGAATACGAGCCTAATGCAAGTACAGTAGGCAAAGAATCTGCTGTGGGATTTTTTTATCCGCAGATTTGATTTGGATATAGAATATTCCAAAAATATTCTAGTAACACACGCAGAATATTCTTTGAACGTTCTTTTTAATATCTAAAGAACGTTTCTATAATATTTTGCAGAATATTATACGAATATTATGTTAAGTGACTGGAATATTCATAGAATATTCTGCAGAATATTCATAGGATGTTCACAAAACTGGATTTTTTGTCTACTTCAAATGTTCTCGTGGAAGTGCATGGGAATTCCGAAGTATCATGTGAGAATATTCTAGGAACTCTCAAATATTCCCCGATGTTATTCTCTGAATGTTTATAGAACGTACTTGTGCTGTCTGGATACTCTTAATATTATAGAATTATATAGTAATAATAATATTGTAGTAATATTAATGTGTTGTAGTAATATTAATATTGTAGAATTATATAGTAATTGATTTTATCACATCAAAGATATCAAGAATTACCAAGATATCAATAACAATTATAATATAAAGAATAAAATTTGTACATAGAAGAGCTTTATTTTCAAGAATTACTTTAGACATGAAAAATGGAAATTTTTAAGTTTTAAGATAGAGATAGAGATGTCTTTCAAAATTTAGATGGTTACATTAACAATATCTATGGTAGACCAGTGAATGATACATGATAATAATTATTTGTATAGAATATTTTAATCTTACATAAAATTGTGCTACTTACCGCACCAGGTACTAAAAAACTAGAATGTATTTCATATGCCCATTTTTTCATTTCTTTGGCGTTCCCTTCCTTGTACAAATCCGTTACTAAATAAAATAACTGGGAAAAAGCATTCAATTAATGCAAGTATTCTATATTTCGATCAATATTAATATATATACAGGGTGGCCCACATAACTCTTAACAGCTGAATATTTCGGAAACTATTTGTCAAATCAAAAAGTTGTTCATGAGAAAGTTTTACATATTCGAGGAGCCTTTCTAACTACATAAATATTAAGTTACTGCCTGCCCCCCTTAAAGGGGTAACTTCGCAATTTCAAACGGAACCCCCTATAAAATGTTAGATGGTTGGGTTCTACGGTAGAAAACAAGTACATTTTATTCAAAACATTTTTCTGTCAGATGTTTCCGTTAAAAAATATGACGGTGTAAAGTTTCGAAGCTACAGGAAATGTAAAAGCGTCGCGCATCCTTGTCTTTCGTTGGTGATTCAAACGTAAACAAACATTCATACATTCATTGAGGTCAGTTTAACTATTCATGAAAATTTTGTCAGTTATATGCTACTATTCAAAAAGTTAGCACCGTGAAAATCATTGCTATCAGTATGTTTGATACAGAAGTGAATATGTTATTAGTATTAGATGAATGCCAAAGGAATTATCGGCGTGCAGCAGTAATGTTTTTTAAACGTTATGGGATTAAAAAATCGCACGTGTCATTTTTTAATGTAGAAAAGCGGCTTCGTGAACATGGTAAATTGCGTACAACTGACAATAAAAAAAATAATATTAAAAAACGACACGTGCGATTTTTTAATCCCATAACGTTTAAAAAACATTACTGCTGCACGCCGATAATTCCTTTGGCATTCATCTAATACTAATAACATATTCACTTCTGTATCAAACATAGTGATAGCAATGATTTTCACGGTGCTAACTTTTTGAATAGTAGCATATAACTGACAAGATTTTCATGAATAGTTAAACTGACCTCAATGAATGTATGAATGTTTGTTTACGTTTGAATCACCAACGAAAGACAAGGATACGCGACGCTTTTACGTTTCCTGTAGCTTCGAAACTTTACACCGTCATAACTTTTAACAGAAACATCTGACAAAAAAATCTGACAAAAAAATTTTTTGAATAAAATTTACTTGTTTTTTTATCGTAGAACTCAACCATCTAACATTTTATAGGGGGTCCCATTTGAAATTGCGAAGTTACCCCCTGCCCCCCGTAAAGAGGGGCAGGGAGTAACTTAATATTTATGTAATTAGAAAGGCCCTTCGAATATATAAAACTTTCTCATAAACAACTTTTTGATTTGACAAGTAGTTTCCGAAATATTCAGCTATTAAGAGTTATGTGGGCCATCCTGCATATAGGATGTTCATTTGAAAACTTTCTAACTAATTATCTCGAAAATTGTGACAGATATTAAAAAAAGCTAAAACACGTATTCCATGATTTCGAAGGAGAAAGAAAATGGCTTTATCAGTTTTTTATTTGGAGGGCATTTGCAAGGTCAGTTGAAGGTCAACTTTATTTTTTAAAATAGAAAACCCAATTTTTTATATCTTCTTTTTCTACTAGTTAATTTGAACAACTTTTGTCTGAAACATTTTTTTATTTGCCTAATATTTTTTGAAATATTTAAGGAAAACTTGGTAACTTTTTCAACATTTAACTTACGATATCTCGCTAACTGTTCGTCGAAAGAAAAAAAAAGTATTAGACTTTTTTACTTTATTTACTATCAAGAATATATTACTATAATAGTGTAGTAACCTAACTTTTGTTAATTTAATAATTTTGAAATTCCCAAAGGTCAATAAGTTAACAAAAGTTAGGGCACTATTATAGTAATATATTATATTATAGTAATATATTCTATTATAGTAATATATTCTTGATAGTAAATAAAGTAAAAAAATCTAATACCATTTTTTCTTTCGACGAATAGTTAGCGAGATATTGTAAGTTAAATATTAAAAAAGTTACCAAGTTTTCCTTAAATATTTCAAAAAATATTAGGCAAATAAAGAAATGTTTCAGACAAAAGTTGTTAAAATTAATTGGTAGAAAAAGAAGATATAATAAAAAACATTGGGCTCTCTAAACATATTGGGCTTTCTATTTAAAAAAATTAAGTTGTCCTTCAACTGACTTTGAAAATGCCCTCCAAGTAAATAGCTGATAATGCCATTCTCTTTCCTCTTCGAAATCATGGAACATGTGCTTTTTTAATATCTTTCATATCTTTTTTAATAGCTTTTTTTAATATCTTTCATAGTTTTCGAGATAATTAGCTGGAAAGTTTTCAAATGAACGCCCTGTATAACATTTATCATGTTATTTATATTATTATCTTTTATTATATTTATCATATTATACTATTTGTAATATTATCATCTTTTCGGAAATTATTTTTCTATATTATTTTTCGTTATTATGGTAACATTACTGTAATTTTGTGCAATTGTTGCTTTTATTAATACTACATACAGGTTGTCCCAGAACAATTATGTTATAGCTAGTAAAGGCGTAAAACAGATTGAGGCTACAAACAAAAAATCCCATACCCGTTTTGTAATATTCGCAATAATTATCGAATTACTAATTATAGAAATCGGATGAATGAGTGCACGTCAAGATAGTAAAGAAGTGTTTGAACCGCTCAGGCTATAGCCCAATCGTTCTAGCAACAGTTACCGTCGCGGAGAGAAGAACAATGTGCCGCTGCTCGTGTTTTTAACTTCGCCGCTCCTATATCTCATCGCGTTTACGCTCGCATTGATATGTGGCCACTAAAAATATTCGCGTTTATCATTAAAAAATTATTTTATAAGATAGCAAAAATAGCACATGTTGAAACCAGTACTATGAAAATAAAAAAATTCTAAGAAAGAAAAGGTTGAAAGAGAAACAGCAATAAAAACCGATGGGATTTACAGAGAATTTCATTGTTTTCTATCATAATCTATCATTTCATTGCATCAAATTCGAAAAAATGATATCGCTTTTTATCATATCTATCGTTCCCTACTAGAGAATATTCAAATTTCATACTCCAATATTTTAAAAAATCCCGTATTTCTGGTCCCTTTGGGGTACAAAAGATTTAAATATCTTAAAGTTGAGCGCTGGTGATTTTTTCACCTCCTTGTAACTTTTTAACCCTTGGAGTACAAACGAAATAAAACAATGGATCTGAGAGATACAAACAGGGTACAAACCTATGGTATAAATATTTTATTAATTTTTTGAAGTTAGGCACTAACTTCAATGCTGATAGAAGGATGTAATTTCTTTCGATGCGGGGAAACGATATATTGTAATAGAAAATAATAAGTTTTTCTATAGATTCCATCTGTTTCTACCGCTTTCTCTCTTTTGGTTTTTTTTATCGCAGTACTTTTTACTGTTTCAATATAAACTATCTTTGCTATGTCATAAAATTATCTTTCAATTGTAATCGCAAAGATTTAGCGACCGTATCGATACGAGCTTAGACACGATGCAGTGAGACATAGGAATATCGAGGTAAGCACACGAATAGCGCATATTGTCCTTCCTCTCGCTACGCGCGTGCAATGTTGCTAAAAACTAGGTTATGCTATAGTTTGAGCAACTCAAACGTTCTTCCTCTTCATTCCGACGCGCGTTCATTAATCTAATTTCTATAATTAATAACTCGATAATTATTAAATATCGCAAAACAATACGGAACTTCTTTGTTCATTTTAATCTACTGCTCGGAATTATTTTCATTTTTCAAGTAATCCTCAGGAACTTTTTCCCACTTACTTCTCTTTATCTTCCCCTTACTACATCCGCACGTCTACAGGTCATAGATCTAACAGTCGTGTTTTCCGCCTCAAAGGCGTTAACATCACAAGTGCTTAACAATAGCTGTAATTATAGATAATTTTGCAGCTATTGGTAAGTGCTTCTTACAAGGGACATGTCACATGTCCGGAACCGATTTGATTCTCCTTTAAATATGTTGTTAAATACACAAATCTAAAAGACACATATTTTTTTATATGTGCGAATATTGAGTTTTAAAGGGTGAAACACCCCTTTAAAGAAAAACAGCATTTTTTTTAGAATCGAATATCTGTTAAACTATAAGTGATAGAAAAGAAACATGTAATGAAAATTTAATCGCTTGAAGAATACTTTAAAGTTATATGAACAAAAATTTTTTACTTTTATTTCTTTTTAAGAACCCCCACCACTTAATTTTTTTTGCAAAATAAAAAACTTTTTTACCTAATTAAAGCTTATTTTTTTCCAAATTCAACCATATATGATAAAGTTATGTTACGAGATATCATTCTCGAAAATTAATTATAAATGCTTCCATATATACGCTTATCCGTACTATGTGTGTAAGTCATTATCGCCGAAACAATAAGATATATGAAAAATGTTTATGTAAAATTTTTATCTATGTTTTCTATGTATTTATAACTGCATATTGTATATATAATATTTAGAATTGTAAAAAAATTTTTTAATAATTTAAAAAAATTTAAATTAATAAGAATTTTTTAAATATATCCCAAGCTCTCTTATTATTTCTTTAACATTTAATTTCTTCTATAAAAATTAAAAACAATTTTATTCTAAAATTACCTACTTATAATAAAATTATTTTACAATTGAATCTTGGAAATATACATGTCGCAATAGTTGGCATAAACAATTTATATCTTACGTTAAAAAATTAAGATAAGATTATGTGTACGTGTTCCAGATATGTTAACAGTATAAATTTTTTCATGTAGCAATCTAATACTCACAGTCAGAACACACTGTTTTTTCGTTATATAATCAAATCTGTTATTCATCTTTACACATTATATTTTTGAATAACGTTTTATAATTTTTTCTCTTACAATTATTTTTGTTCTTACATCTTACATTTTATTTATTTGTTATTTACACAATGAATTTATTTACATTTTATATTATTTACTCATTATACACATTACAATGATATTCGACAAAAAAATGTTTTAAGCATAATGATTTCTTACACCAAGAACATCTTACTACAGCTATATTATAGCAACCTTCAAT